CCATACCTGCATCTGGTTCTCAACCTCCTCTGACTCCTGTTTCCCAAGAACCTGTGGTGGAAGCTAATGATGCTGGTCCTAACACCAGCACACAGCAGACAAATGTTACTGGAAATAAGAGAAAGGAGGTAGAGTCCAGATCTAAAATATGGGATCAGTTTGTTAAGATCAAAGATAGTAATGGTGTTGTTATCAAAGGAAGATGCATACATTGTGCTAAAACATATTGTTGTCAGTCTAAGAAGCATGGTACTTCTTCTCTTAGAAATCACATACTTGGTTGTATGAAATTGCCTGCCTCAAAGGATGCTAGACAAGCCCTTCTCACTTTCCAACCAGTCCAGTGTAATCCAACATCTGAAAACATTGGAGTGTTGGGGACTTGGGTGTTTGATCAGGGTGCAATTAGGAGAGCACTTGCTGAAATGCTTATCATTGATGAGCTGTCATTTAGATTTGTGGACAGACAAGGATTTAGGAAGTTTATCTCTGTAGCTTGTCCTAGGTTCCAAATTCCTTCCAGGTGGACCATTGCTAGAGACATCTACCAAATCTTCTTAGATGAGAAAGTAAGTCTGAAAAAGTTGTTTAGGGAACACACTCAGAGGGTCAGTATAACAACTGACACATGGACCTCTGTACAAAGGATCAATTACATGTGTATAACTGCACATTTCATTGATAATGAGTGGAAGCTGAATAAAAAAATAATTTCCTTTGTTCCTGTGACTTCCCACAAAGGAGAGTATTTAGCTAAAGCCCTAGAGTCTTGCCTGGTAGATTGGGGATTAAAATCTATCTTCACTGTGACTGTTGATAATGCTAGCAGTAATGACACTGCAATTGGCTTTTTTAAGAAGAAACTTTTATCTTGGGGTGCCTCTTCTGTAAAAGTTAAGTACCTTCATATGAGGTGTATTGCTCATATCCTTAATTTGGTTGTTCAAGATGGTTTAAAAGAAAGTGATTCTTCTGTTCAAAGAGTCAGGGATGCTGTTAAGTATGTTAGACATTCTCCTGCTAGGCTTAAAAAATTCAAGGACATTTCAGATTTGATTGGAATGGAAACTAAAGCTGGATTGCACCTAGATGTCCCAACTAGGTGGAATTCTACATATTTGATGCTGAAATCTGCAATGTCCAATGAAAAAGTGTTTGAAGCTTATGAGGAGAATGAGAGTTCCTATCTTGTTGACCTGGGGAGTGACAGTCCTGATGTTGGGGACTGGACTGCAATTAAAACTTTGGTGGTCATTCTTCAAAACTTCTATGATATGACACTTAGGATTTCAGGATCTCTTTATGTCACTTCAAATTCCTTCTTCTCTGAAATATCTGATCTATTCCTTGTTCTCAAAGAGATGGTTTCTTCAAAAACTGCTTCTGTATCTAAAATGGGGACTAGTATGAAATCCAAACTGGATAAGTACTGGGGTGATCCAGAAAAAATGAACATGCTAATTTTCTTTGCAAATGTGCTAGACCCTAGAGACAAATATGAATACATGCCACATCAATTGAATGCTTTGTATGGGGATAAGATTGGTGAGGCATTCTTTGCAAAGATAAAGCTGGGTTTGATTGAGTTGTATGGTGATTATGTTACAAACTATGATGTTTCAGTCAGTGGAAGCTCTCAATTAACCCCAAATTCTGTTTCCTTACAATCTGAGTCAAGTGGAAGTAGGCCTGTTTCTAAATTCAAAGCCCAATTGAAAAAACAAAAACAAGATAGTGGCCTCTCAAGCTTGAAAAAAATGAACTTGAACTATATTTGAGTGAGAACATTCTTGAGGAGGACAATGAGTTTGATATATTGAGATGGTGGAAGCTTAATAGTGAGAGGTTTCCTATCCTATCTAAGATGGCAAGAGACATTCTTGCTGTTCCTATTTCCACAGTAGCTTCTGAGTCCACATTTAGTACAAGTGGAAGGGTGTTGGATTGTTTTAGGAGTTCATTGAGTGCCAAAATTGTAGAAGCACTCATATGTGCTCAAGACTGGTTAAGGATGTCCAACCAGCCTGTGTCAGTTGAAGAAAACATTGAGGAGGTAGATAGGCTGGAAACAGGTACATACTATTACATTTTTAGTATTTGGTATTTATATTTGATGTCTTGCTAACTTAATTTTGTTTTCAATGCAGAATTGACTGAAGGAAATGTTGGTGGAGGCCCTTCTCTTGATCAGATAGTAGTAAAACTTATACTTTATCTTTTATATGTTGTACTATGTTATTTCACTAATAAAATGCTTTGATTCTATCAATGTTCTGGCTGTAAATGCTAATTGGAGGCCCTGCTGCTTGCCTGCTGTGATGGTAATTGGAACTTGGAAGTGTTGCTTATTCACTGGTACAATTTCACCCCTAAGTGTGTGTGTGACAACAAGACATGGTAATGTTGTTTCACTCTATACTATTTGTTCCAGTGTTCCATATTTATGGCAATGATGATAGCTTCCACCAAGTAATGAAATTAATGGTAGCTGGTGTTGATTCTATTTGTATATGGTTTCAATGCCCCCATTAATAGTGAAGTGAATGTTAATCTGAGCCAAATTATGCCCCTGCTACTTGCACTATGTTGGAACTACTTCAAATTGATACAATCACTCTATACTATTTGTCCCAGTGTTCCATATTTATGGCAATGATGATAGCTTCCACCAAGTAATGAAATTAATGGTAGCTGGTGTTGATTCTATTTGTATATGGTTTCAATGCCCCCATTAATAGTGAAGTGAATGTTAATCTGAGCCAAATTATGCCCCTGCTACTTGCACTATGTTGGAACTACTTCAATTTGATACTGTCACTCTATACTATTTGTTCCAGTGTTCCATATTTATGGCAATGATGATAGCTTCCACCAAGTAATGAAATTAATGGTAGCTGGTGTTGATTCTATTTCTATATGGTTTCAATGCCCCCATTAATTGTGAAGTGAATGCAAATCTGAGCCAAACTATGTCCCTACTACTGTCTACTAGCACTTTGCAACAAGTACTTGAATATGATGTTATATTTGTATACTATTTGTTCCAGTGTTCCATATATTTGGTAATGATGATAGCTTTGACCGAGTAATGAAATTGATGGCAGCTTGTGTTGGTTCTATTTCTATCATTCTATGTACTTTCATATGCCCCCATTTACATTTATTGTTTACTTATTTCTGGCAATGATGAAAGCTGCTACTCTGCTAGAGTGCTAGCCTTCTACACTTCTACCATATTGAAAAAACAAATGGGTTGGTATTGATTCTATTTCTATATAGGTTTGAATGCCCCCATTTATTGTGAAGTGAAGCTAAACCTGAGCCAAACCTGATTGTATATAGTATTCATACAAATTTATTCTGAACCAAAAGCTAAATTTGAAACCTAAATACTACACTTGTACAAATTTTTTGACAAGTCATTTACCTAGGAACATATTGAATGACTAATTGACTATTATGATACTGGTCTGCTACACTGCCTACACACATGGAAGTGATGGAACTCTGGAAGTAGGAATGTATATGTGAAGAAATGGAAGCAGGAACTCCAGGAAGCATGGAACTATGTTAATTTTTTTGTTGCTACTTGATATTTTGGAACTTTGGAAGTTTGGATTACTCAAACTCTATTCTCTATTATGTATAAGTATTTAAGTAACAACTGTATAAGTAACTAACTGTGTTTGGAGACATGGAGTTGTACAAACTAAAAGTACAAACTCTAATCTAATGTTGTATTGCTCTACAAAATTTTGTGTTATTTAATGGTTTTAATCTACCCGAATCAACCCGAATATCCGATAAAAACCGACCGGAATCCGAAATTGGGCAACCCGAGTAGCCCGAAATTTTTATTCCACAGGGTAGGGTTTTAAATTCCTAACCCGATAACCGAACGGGTTTGCCAAATCCTCACCCGTCCTACCCGAACCCGTCCGATGCTCTCCCCTAGAGATGGCTCCCGGTGGAATTTTTTGATGAATTTTTTTGACCATCTTATTCATTAAGTCTAGTTTACTCATATCAAATTTCAGATAAAAATTCAATCGGGAAGACATTCAAATGAATTCTTGAAGATAATTGTGCCGTTAAAAGCGCAATTATCTTCAAGAATTCATTTGAATGTCCTCCCGATTGAATTTTTTGCTGAAATTTGATATGAGTAAACTAGACTTAATTAATAAGATGCTCAAAAAAATTTATCAAAAAGTTCCACTGGGAGCCACCTCAAATGGCACGTCCGGACAGAATCTTCCATATAAGGACTTATTTGACACTCTTTTTGCAACTTAAAGGACCAAATTGAACCAGTCCACCCCACTCAAATATACGATGTAAAGTAATACGACTACGTAGTAATATTAACCAGTCCACCCATGGAAATTAACTTTTCCCAAATAATCTAACAAACAAAAAATAAAATATGAAACTATCTCAGGAAAACCACTTCTTCGTCAAACACGTGCATCTTTCCTTCAAATTTATTTTACACAAATTTTTCGAAATAAAATTTAAAAATAATGCGGTATTTCACAATAAAAAGTATTTTTTTCTATTTCTAAAGCAGAAGTAAATAAAAAATACGAAGTGACTAACTCTAAGTCTATTCCTAGAGATCACGATTGGATCTATAAATTTTGTCTGAATGCTGTCTTGCATGTGGTCTCAATTTTAATATAACGATCGCTCTTTATGATTAAAAAAAAAGCAGAAGTAAATCAATGCCCCCTAAACACCATATTGTCATACTCATAATTGATGATATTTTCTAAACATGATAACAATTACTCCTGTTTAGGACAAACAACATACCCTCTTTACCTCTTACATTGTGATTTCAAATTATTTTACTTCTAAGTAAGCCAATTTCTTCATTTAAAAAAAAAAGTAAGCCAATTTCTATTTATTTTAATATGTATACATCCATAAACGAACGGAACGTAATTTGTAGAATAGGGAAAATGTAGATAACAAAAAAAGAAAAGAAAAAAAAAGCACCCTCTTAAGCAGTTAAACACATCTCTTCTTCTTCAGCTTCACCATCTAAAGCAATTAGCTTTAACTCATACTTCACGAGTTCACGGTGATACAAAATTAGAAACAAAAGCGAGAATACACAATCTTCTTATTAACAAAAGGTTCTACACCTTTTTTTAAATGAAGGTTCTACAGTTATAAACTGACTTCTAATAATATCTCCAAAAATGCAAAATAAGCAGTCACTTGGAGCAGGGAATTGACCCTAGACATATATTGCTCAATACATTAAAAGGAAATAAAATACAAAACTTCTCGCTTTGATTATAATGGAAATGGAGAAAAGAATCGTCAACTGGAAGATGCTCACCGTCATTTCACTCCAAGCCCGCCCTTCCGAACATCTAAGAAGCCTCACACTATTCTCCTATGGTGAGTCCATAACCAAACTTGTAATCTTTCTTTTTATGGTCAATCTGCAAGCCATTTTTTATCTACGCATCAGAAAGTTATATGAAAGCATATCTGCTGGTTCTTTTGGCTTTTGTGGAGATTTCACAATGAAATTGTTGACTCACTTGTAAGTCGATGACCCCTAAAGCGTTACGATGACTGTCCCAAAAAAACTAATGTTTGAGCAATGTACTACTTCAAGTTTAATAAGATACAACTATCATAATTCACGAATAGTGTTCATGTTTTTCCACTTTATCATATTTAACTTGTTTGTGACTTTTTTGGCAATTATGTGATAAATTGTGTTCGTGTGATCTCAAAATAAACCTGTTTTGGGAGAAAAAAGAGTTTGAAACATTACTCTCTTTTGACGGGTGAGTATTTTCTATTTGCTATGGTGTGTTTTTTGTTACCCGAAATCACATTTGCAAACGGGATTATAAAGATTAACAAACATAATAAATATGGATTGGCAGAAAGATCAGTAAAATAGTACAAAAAGGAGTACCGCGGCAGAGAGGATGAAATTAAGCCCCATGTTCAATCGCTCTTCCAAGAAAGCAGAAACACAGCCGCTGGAGTCTATCTTCCCCCTTAGACGACACTGTCATTGAAACAAACTACTCAATCAGCAAAGTTTGTTGCCAAACGCAACACAAATAATTTAATCATAGTCTACAGGGATGGAACCACATGAAAGGGTTAAAAATCAGTACGATTTTAAAAAGCATTTCTACTCAAGTTGGGTTCTTTTTCCTTTTATTATTTTACAATTGTTAGATACTCAATACCAGATACTACCTCCGTCCCGGTAGACTTTGCCAAGTGCAAAGTAGGTGAGAAATAAGAATAGAAAAAACTGTGTGGTTGAGATTTGTGCAGAGGAGAGAAGAATGTGCAGAACAACAAATTAATTAATTGCTTTAATAGTAAAGTGGCAAAGTTTTTAGGGACAACCAAAATGGGAAAGTTGGCAAAGTCCAATGGGAGGGAGTATTATTCTAAATTTTCATTTAAAAAAAAATCTTTAAATTGATACTTTTCAAAACAAAAGACACTAAATGAATTAGTGTAAACTCAAAGTCATAATCATTTATTTATGACCACAAATCTTATACGTAATACTCTCTCCGTCCTATTGGATTTCGCCAACTTTCCTTTTTTGTTTGTTCCAATTTTTTTTACACTTTCTAATGAATTTATGGTTCATCTTATTTCTCTCCGCTGCACAAACTTTAACCACATACGGAATAGTTTTTACTTTTTTTTTATTTCAGACCTAACACAAAGTTCACAATTTCCAATGGAACGGAGGTAAACTCCCTTCCAACACGCAACTCACAAGCATAGCGAAATAGCCTAAGGGTGGAGTACTTAGGGCATAAAGATGTGGGACCATGTAGTTGTTCTACAAAATTTGCAGCATAAAATCATAAATTACCTGCCGAAGGATATAATCATAACCAACACTTGCTGTGACATCTCCAGCAATGTAGTTGTACATCAAGTCTGATGCTAGAGAAACCTGCACAGAAGAAAAATCTTTAGAGACGTGCATATGATTAAAACTGACATCTATATGAGATTATAAGATGTCACAATTTTACTTTCTCAGAAACTTTTTGAACATAATTTAATGCAACAAGTCCAGTGCTAGCGACTTGTCCTGAGGCAACCTGCAGGAAGAATGACAATATTGAATTAGATATTCAAGTGCTGAATACAGAGTACAAATCCAATTTATATAAAATATATACATATATACATGCATGTATACAAACAGACACACACACATATAAAATGTTCACACACTTTTATGTGTGTGTGATTGTATATCAAAATGAATACAAGCCAAGTCCCAAACAGAAAGATTAAGTAAAACTGCTACTACTTTCATTACCTATTAAACATCTTACAATACAGAATGGGGAACTAAAGAAATTCAACTCAGTACACCAATTTTTTGCATTCAGGACAAAAGAAAGTTCCACATCTAACCTTCATTTTTTAATAACTGGTTTGAGAAAACTTGAATACTTGATTGATATATAAAGGATACAACAATACATTATTCTGAGACCAAGTAAACCTATACCTAATGCTAGTCAACTGTCAAAGGACATAAGAAAACCTAGAACATTGATTGGGATATTAGATTTTTATTTTTTAAAACATTTACTATAGTAATGTACCACTCAACCCATTAACAGACTGACATCAGTAACCAAATCTAAACGTGTTTTATCAGTGTCTTACCATCTTATCAGTGTTGTACCGAGCAGCATAACCTATGCCTGATTTGCGATGTTGTCCAGCCCAGAATACTTCACCACCCAAAGATAAATGAGGAGTCACGCTCTGCAAAAGAGAAAATATAGAAGTTATTCATAGAAAAACATATAGTTAGATAACAAGAGGTTAAGGGAAAGACAACTAGAACTTAAAAACCATAGACTACACACCATCGTCAATAAACTCAAAAGAAAAATAATAAATTACGCATGTTAAGTCGTTGATATACCCGTTTGCATGTCGCGTGTATATGTGTGTAAGCAAGCATGCATATGTGTGTATTTTTATGTGTAAGCATGCGTGCATACGTGTGCCTATGGATGCAGAGAGAAGGAATAATTCACCAAAAATATCTTGACCAGAGAACTCTGAACATTGTAAATTATACACCAGTGAAGAAATGAGTAGAGTAATTTGTGTTTCCCACAAGTCTGAGAGGAAACTCAGAGGATATAATGTAATTTGTGTCGTTTACAGGTTTAAAGAAAACATAAGGGAGGTACTATTTTTGTGGGAAATCAAGGGCCATTTACTCTCTTTTTGAGCTACATCCTTTGTAAAGTATGTATCTTTTTCAAGTTCACGGAATACTCTCTTCTATGCCACCGATTAGGCAACTCATCTAAGACTCAAGAGCCTGCATGGTACTGTTATCCTTGACACACATAACACACACCTTACACCCTCATATGGATAAAAGTCTACACAATCATAAACACTTCAATCCCAACTACGTTTAGGTTGGTTGTATGAAATTTATGATGTTAATTAAAAAAAAAGTTGGGCAAAAACAGTGACAAAATATTACACCGGGTGCCATTCCTGTCAAAGGTCAAATCCTACTAAAGAAGTCTAAAGAAGAAAAATAATGGCACTAGCTCCCACCGAATATATCACAGTCTGGATATGAGTTGGGGTAGTCACTATAATCATGCCCAATGGCAAAATTGATACTATACAATGGATAGTCAGTAATGTGAAAACCAAAAACAAAACAAACAAGCACACAGAACTAGAAACAGAAGAAACTTCATGCATAAACTGCTAAGCAGCCTAAGCTATAAAGCTTTGACCTATTTCCTGGAATATTTAGCTCCAGAAAATTGCCTCAATAGAGAGAAAAAAAATCACTCTTTTGGGACAAGCACAATGGCTAAACTAAGCATAAGAGGATTTGATCATTCACCTGGATGTAACTGGCTCCAAGCAATCCACCATTCCCCATCTGAAGTTGCATCCTATAATCCTTTCCCTATGTATAATTGTAACAGCCTATAATCAACTTCATGTCACCAAGGCTATAATAATAGTTTTGTTGCAAAACATGAATCATTACATTATAAGAATAAAACAGATACTATATGTTCATCAAAGGGCCTTGCCTTATAGTCAAAATTGACCATGCCCTGTGACATATGTGGCTCATCTGATATCTGAAGAATATGAAATAAGAGTCATTTAGGCATTATTATTAGAATAAATAATAGCATAGCTGCATCTACAATTTCAGACAATAAAAATGAAATTATAAAGATCATAATCTCATATGCCTTACTTGAGCATTGGCCTTCAAAGAAAGAGCGTCAGACAAATCACACTTCACTCTAGCATTAAGCCGCCCATCTGTCATCACCCTCCCAATTAGAAACAACTGTCACAGCCATGCAGTATTCAGTTATTCACAATATAAGATGGTTGCAGTTTTCCAGAAGTCTAAATAGACGAGAAAAATGAGAAAGAAGTACTCCAACAACACACCTTAGGATCCATGAAGTTTGCACCAAACTCATAATGAGCAGTTGGAATTTTTATCGTTTCTGTGGATTGAGAGGGAACTTCTGTGGGTCCCATGAACACACTGATAAACCATGAAAAAGGAAAACTATCTGCATCAAACAGAGTATAACTGGTTTTTCTGCCTAAAACAAAAGGAAGGTATGCACTGAAAATAACGAATCCACCATTAGAAATAAATTGAAAATAAAAATTTACCTATGACTGAGTGAAAAACTTTGATTGAGTGCTTTTGTAAAGTCAAAGCGCATGCCTTCGAAAAGTTCTGGCTTCAGAGACACTACCATAATAGTAATTTGTATCAAAATAGTTGCGCTATAATGATTCAAAGCCTAAAATTTTCAGCAAACTCTACAATATGAAAAGATATCCATGAACTAGGAAATAACAGCATTACCTTCAATCTAAATAGAGTAATGAACTATTGACTGATGATGAATGATGATATGATGACAACTCAACTAATAATGATGATGAACACAACAATAAACTTGCTCATCATAACAAGTAGATATGCTGTTTATGCACATATTAATCTAAGCCATAAATGTCGAGGTGGGTGCATTGCCTAAAAACCGCATATTCATCATTTTGAAAGAAAACAGCTCAACAATGCAAGTATAGCATGCACTATGCAGTGTGCACTAATAAAATGCAGAAAATCATGTCTACAGAGTACAGTAGAGGCTACAGCCACTTTACAGGATACAATCTACGACTTAGCCCAATCATTTGGGAAACCCACATTAAATATTGACTATAAATAATAAATATCATGAAACTTATTATCTTAAATGTTCAACCCATTTGTAAAATTTCCTTCTCTGGTAGACTGGTAGGATCACTGAGATGCTCCCGTAAGGTAAAACCGTAAAAAGCTAAGAGCCTTACACACTATGTTATGAATGGCAAGAGAATAACTAATTCAGATGAAACCGGCAGATGTGCCCTACACTGGATGTTTTTTTTTTATTTCACATTCAGTTCTTTCAGTCAGTTTGGTTTAATTATGCCGCCAAATCACCAACCTATAATGTCAATGCCACTGCTCCGTTAACTCATACAATTTGATTTTAATCGACAGCACCAACAGTAGACACTTTATTCCTCGTCTTGATCAAACTTTGAATACCATTATAGCTCACAAAAGAAAACTATACACACGTGTGGAGGGCTATGCTAGCTTATACAGAGTACAATTGTAGTAAATGGTGAACTGACATTAGGATTTTGTTTATGTTTCTGAATGACCATTTTTATGTTTTTTCCTTCTCAATTCTAATCCAGAATTCCCCTCATTCTTCTGACCTTCCTCAACGTTTTTCCTATTTTGGATAGTCAGTCCCTCCTGGAAATAACACGCCTAGAATAATTAAAGTTGCAAATGATGAATCCTCCCACTCCCAATAACCCAATTAAATAGTTTTAAAAGAATTATACTGTTATGGAAATTATTCTCACAGCAATACAAAGTATAATCTGAAGGGAAAAAACTATTAGAACTACTCGGATACTAGCATTCCTGAATATCCATACTTCATGTGACCATAAAAGATAATATTAAGAATGAAAATAAGAAAAAAGAGAAACAATGACATCAAAAGAGAATAGCAATAAAATACTGACTAAAAGCCTCGCGGTGGATTTCCTCATACGGAATGGGACAAGGCAGATTCATATAGTCGACTTTCTCCGGTACCGCCGGCTTTGAATCTGCCGGAGGAGCTGTGGCGGCGGGGGGAGTGACAAAGGCAGCCATTGCTGGTTTAACTCCGTATGGCCTTTGGATCCAGCTGCGACTGCAGAGGAAAAGGAGAAGGTAAACGTGACAAGTCCTGTTCAGAATCCAGATGTCTAAAACCCTCTTTAAATTTGCTTGGTTAAAGACCCGGCCTTTCTAGCATTTGGGCGTTTGCAAGATTGATTGGTAATTTTCTAGTTCCTCTCATTTCGTAATTTTGCATCACCTTGAGTCCTTGATCACTATACTGGTATGTGCATCCATAGTGTTAGTCTTAATTAAGTTTTTTCAAAAAAATGTGAAAGTAAAATTTAAAGAAAATGAAAGGGAAAATACACAAAATGGATAAACGCCTCAATCTCATGTCAAATATTTCACTTTGTGTTATCATGATATACGTTATACTTTAAATAGAAAATACAAAAATGAATACATACTCAAATATTATTAGATAAAATAATAGTTTAAAAAGTGTTAGTTGACTGTTGTATTGTAGGTTTGAAATGAAATTGATTATCATTTTACATTTTCATCTATCACATTCTTTCCATCATTTGCAATGGAGCCAAAGATTCATTATTTTTTGGCTTCATAATATGATGGAATAAAGCAAAAGGGCTCACTAAACTGTCTGCTCTTCTTTGTTATGAAGCAGTAGTCAGTCCATGCAATTTTGGACGCGATTTTCAGTATGGGTCATCCGGAAACAGTGTCTCTGTGCTTTAATACAGGGGTAAGATTGTGTACATCCGACCCCCTTACCCCACCGTAGGTGGGAGCCTTTGCGGCACTGGGGTAAATGAAAATGAAATGATATGTCACATTAAGTTTGTATGAAACGGGCTAGCCCTGTGAATTTTGACTGATTTTGAAAGATGTATCTATAGTGGGTTGACACATGCATGTTGTGAGTTGTCCAAAATACAAATATATATTTTTGAATTTCATTGTCTTCAATATTGATTCTTTACCACCGGTTAAGGTTAAGTTCTCGCGGTCCGAAAGTCCAACATAGTCCTTTGGACTTTCATGGGATCTTACAGAAGAGCTAGAGAGAAGTCTAAACTATAGTATGCAAGTTTGTCAACTCTTTATAATGAAATAAATGGGAGTGCACGACAATGTAATAGGTGTACATGATGATATGTCGAGCCCTCGGCGGATAATTCCCAACCATAAAATCCCCCACATCTAGTGCACTAAATGCACTTCCCATCAATCCTAGTCTTCCCGACGATAACATGTAAGTATATTAGAAACCGTCCAAAGAGTTTATCTGTACAGCAAAAATATGAGCAAAAATGTAGGTTATCCAAAGATTGGATAACCCATCACCTGCCAAAATAAGGGTGCCAAAGCAGCCCCCCTATACTACCTCACGGCCTATCACAAGCAAAAAAAGGTGATGGCAGAATGTTATCAGAGTACTACCAAATCACAAGGATAGATGCTATACAAAATTTTATAGACAACATATTTTATCCTAGCAAAAACTTCCTCCTCTTTAGGCAAAAATCCATCAAATCTAGCTGCATTCCTGACCCTCCAAATCCAGTAGATGGTGCAAGAGAAAGCAATCCTAGCAGCCTTGGCTGCCACATTAGCTCCGCTCCTTTCCTTCTTGATCCATTTGACCGAGCTAGCTAGGGTCCCCATCATCCGTGGAATGCCAATCCATGTTTTCATCATAGTCCAGACCTTACCTGAAAAAGGGCATTCAAAGTAGAGGTGTGGAGCCGTTTCCGGTCCACCCTTGCACAAGACACAAGTATTATCCACATCTAATCTATGAAGATTATCACACATGGCTAACCTATTACGGAATGCCAACCAAGTAATAAAGGAAAACTTGGGAGGGATATAATCTTTCCAAATAAATGGCATCCACACACGGGTGGCAGCCCTAGTCCTAAGCAGATTATAAACCTTGGAGGATACAAGCTTGCCATTGAATTAAAGAGCATTTAGGCCAAGTATAGCGCTCGGAATGTCCGGGAATTTGGAGAGTATTTCATCTCGGATTAGTGCAATCTTCTTAAATAGTTGTGAATCTCTTTCATGTGGGACAAACTCCCACACATCTAGGCAAAAACTTCCTCCTCTTTAGGCAAAAATCCATCAAATCTAGCTGCATTCCTGACCCTCCAAATCCAGTAGATGGTGCAAGAGAAAGCAATCCTAGCAGCCTTGGCTGCCACATTAGCTCCGCTCCTTTCCTTCTTGATCCATTTGACTGAGCTAGCTAGGGTCCCCATCATCCGTGGAATGCCAATCCATGTTTTCATCATAGTCCAGACCTTACCTGAAAAAGGACATTCAAAGTAGAGGTGTGGAGCCGTTTCCGGTCCACCCTTGCACAAGACACAAGTATTATCCACATCCAATCTATGAAGATTATCACACATGGCTAACCTATTATGGAATGCCAACCAAGTAATAAAGGAAAACTTGGGAGGGATGTAATCTTTCCAAATAAATGGCATCCACACACGGGTGGCAGCCCTAGTCCTAAGCATATTATAAACCTTGGAGGATACAAGCTTGCCATTAAATTAAAGAGCATTTAGGCCAAGTATAGCGCTCGGAATGTCCGGGAATTTGGAGAGTATTTCATCTCGGATTAGTGCAATCTTCTTAAATAGTTGTGAATCTCTTTCGTGTGGGACAAACTCCCACACACTCCTGCCCTTTAGATAAACCCCATATACCCACTTGACCCAAAGTGTGTCCTTTTTAGTGTGTATATCCCAAAAAGTTTTTGAAAGTAAAGCCTTGTTCCAAACTTTCGTATCATGTATACAAAGTCCGCCTTCTTCTTTCGGGAGGCAAATATCTGCCCAAACGACCCTAGCGAATTTGCTTCCCCAAAGAAAAATGCGACAGATGAATGTAATCCTGTCAAGAATAACATTAGGGATGAGAAACATTTGTAGCCAAAAGAGTGTACACCCTGTATAACCGATTTGAGTAGTTCAACCCTTCCTGCATAAGATAAAGACTTAAGATTCCAAGCATTAATTAAAGTGGTGATGGACTCCAAAAGTGGTGCATACTAGGCCACAGATAACTTTAAGGGCGCCAGAGGGACCCCAAGATATTTGACCGAGAATGCACCAATTTTAAAGTCCACCAGTTCACGTATAGGGTCAAGCTCATAATATGCATTACCACCAAGGAAGATATTTGATTTATCATAGTTGACCCTAAGGCAAGATATGTTACCAAAGTCTTCCAAAGCCTCTGTGAGAATCTGTATAGATGTGGTATCACCTCTAGAAAAAAGCATCAAATCATCCGCATATGCCACATGTGAAATATTAAGTGATCCACACAAAGGATGGTGATTGAACATAGGATTTTTGGTCCTATCATTCAATAGTATGGATAAGTACTCCAAGCAAAGAACAAATAAGAGGGGGGACATAGGGTCCCCTTGCCGAAGCCCTCTTTTACCCTCAAAATGACCATGTTGAACACCATTGATTGATATGGAGTATGAAGCTGTGGTGACACACTCCATAATCCAGTGTATGAATCTGCCCGGGAAACCCAAGTGGGTCATCATACTAGTAAGGAAGTCCCAAGATACAGTATCATAGGCTTTCCGGAGGTCAACCTTGATCATACATCTTGGAGACATACGTTTCCTAACATATCCTTTAATCAGCTCTTGGGCAACAAACACATTATCAATCATGAGTCTCCCATCAACAAAAGCCCCCTGGGCTTGGTCAATGAGGTTCGGAAGGCACAGTATCATTCTTTTAGAAATGATTTTAGTGATGACTTTGTAAACCACATTTGTACAAGCAATTAGTCTAAAGTCAGCCGGCGTGGGAGAATGGTTTGTCTTAGGAATTAAAGCAATAACCGTGTGGTTAGTTTGCTTTAAGAGCCTACCAGACCCAAAGAAGGCCTTAACAGACTTGGTAAAATCATAACCAACCGTGTTCCAATTCTTTTTAAAAAATGCCGATGTGTATCCATCAGGACCAGGTGATTTGTTGTCACCAATGTCAAACAAGGCCTCTTTGATTTCCACATCTGTGATAGGGCCAATAAGGCTGGCCGAGACACTAGAAGGTAGACATCTACCCGAGGCAACAATATTGGGGTCCAATCCGGACGTAGGATAGTGGGTATGTAACACCCCGGCCCCGCAGGACCCGAGGTAGTTACTTCGGACCTCTAGTACTATCCTCACAAACCGCCACTGGCCTTTACTGCGCACTTTGTCCTCACTCCCGTGCAAGCACGCTTAACTTTGGAGTTCTTGGCTAATGAGCTCCCTTAAAAGGAGATGCACCTTGTTGGTATGAGTAGTACTATTAATCCGTTTATATTAAATCTCAAGTGTTACAAACACCCCCACTTAGGATCGCAACGTCCTCGTTGCGCCCTTAAACCAATCTCAATCACACCCCAGAATCTTTTCCCCTGCTAAGTGCTCGCCCGATATCCAACGGATCAACACACTGTCGCAGGGTTGCTCTGATACCATTTGTAACACCCCGGCCCCGCATTTCCCGAGGTAGTTACTTCGGACCTCTAGTACTATCCTCACAAACCGCCACTGGCCTTTACCGCGCACTTTGTCCTCACTCATGCGCGCCCTGAGAAACTTTCCAGGGGGTCACCCATCCCAAGACTACTCCCGTGCAAGCACGCTTAACTTTGAAGTTCTTGGCTAATGAGCTCCCTTAAAAGGAGATGCACCTTGTTGGTATGAGTAGTACTATTAATCCGTTTATATTAAATCTCAAGTGTTACAGGGTACCAAATAAATTGGTATAAAACTTCACTAGTTCCGTAGCCACTTGGTCAATAGAAGTGGTAGTCATCCCATTATGGAGTTTTAAAGTTGTAATGGAATTTCTAGCCATATTCTTTTTTCACAATAGCGTGAAAGTATTTGGTACATTTATCACTTTGAACAAGGTGGTTTGCCTTGGCCTTTTGTCTAAAAAAGTCTTCTTCGGCCACTTTAAGGTTAAGAAGTTTTTTCTTGATCAAGGAAAGTTCTTCTTTTATAGTTTCATCCAACAGAGAGAGTATAGAGAGCCCGAGGAGCCTTTTATACTCTTTCTTGGAATCCTTAACTCTTTCAGAAATGTGGCCAAAGTGGAGTTTATTGAGCTCTCTAAGTGGTCTTTTGAGGTTCTTCAATTTCTTGGCAAGAATGAATCGAGAGCTACCATATACCTCTCTATCCCAATGGGATGTGAGGATGGCATTGAAATTTTCATGGTTCTACCACAT